AGGAGAGTACCTAAGTCTTGAATTCCACGATTATCTCAAGGAGTGTGGAATAGTTTCACAATTGACGCCACCTAGGACACCACAATTGAATGGTGTGGCAGAAAGGCATAATCGAACCTTGTTGGACATGGTTCGCTCTATGATGAGTCGTGCTTCGCTATCTATCTCTTTTTGGGGGTATGCCTTAGAGACTGTCGCCCATATCCTTAACCGAGTCCCTACTAAGAAGGTTGCCAAAACACCTCACGAGATGTGGATGGGGAAAGTTCCTTCGTTAGCACATATCAAGGTTTGGGGTTGCGAGGCTTTCGTAAGACGAGATACTCACGACAAGCTCGAACCTCGTAGTGAGCGATGTATTTTCATCGGCTACCCGCAGAAATCCTTTGGATATCTCTTCTATAGACCGAAGGACAATGTTGTTTTTGTTGCGAGGAGAGGAGTTTTCCGAGAGCGAGAACTCATAGGCCAAGGAGACAGTGGGAGGAAAATCGATCTTGAAGAGATTCAAGAGTCGATAGATGAAGGAAACTCTACCACTGGCACTCAACCCAAGGAGGAAACTCCGGTTGAACCGATTGACATATCATTACCTCTTAGACGTTCTAAAAGAGTTAGAGTTCAACCCCAGCTGTATGGTTTTCATATTACTACCGAAGGGGACACGTATATTAGTGATAGTACACTAGTAAACCTAGATGAACCTAATAGCTATAAGGAAGCCATGGTAGGCACAGAGTCTGCAAAATGGAAAGAGGTAATGGATAGCGAGATCCAATCCATGTACGATAACCAAGTTTGGAATTTGGTTGATAATGTGCCCGGACGTAAGACCGTTGGGTGCAAATGGATCTTCAAGAAGAAGACCGATGTGGATGGAAAAGTACACACGTATAAAGTGTGATTGGTTGCGAAGGGCTTTACTCAAACTCCCGGAGTTGACTATGAAGAGACCTTCTCACCAGTTGCGAAGATAAAATCTATTAGAGTGATGCTAGCTATTGCCGCATTTCATGATTATGAGATTTGGCAAATGGATGTCAAGACCGCTTTCCTTAACGGGAAGTTGGCTGAGGATGTTTACATGGCTCAGCCAGAGGGGTTTGTGGATCCGAAGCATCCAAATAGAGTGTGTAAGCTTGAAAAGTCCATTTATGGACTTAAGCAAGCGTCTCATATAGATGGAATCTTTGCTTCGATGAGAAAGTCAAAGAGTTTGGATTTGTACGAAGCGAAGATGAATCGTGTGTATATGTCAAAGCCAGTGGGAGTATAGTAAGCTTCCTCGTTCTATATGTCGATGACATATTACTCATAGGAAACGACGTACCGAATCTGCAGGAAGTTAAGTCCTGGCTCGGGAAGTGCTTCGCTATGAAGGACCTCGGAGAGGCTTCTTATATTTTGGGAATAAGGATAGTAAGAGAGAGAAGTAAGAGATTTAATAGGACTTAGTCAAAACACTTACTTAGAGAAGGTACTAAAACGTTTTAGTATGGAAAACTCAAAGAAGGGAGAATTACCGATACAAAGTAATGCAAAGTTGAGTAAGACTCAAAGTCCGAGTACCAAAGCCGAGATAGCTGAAATGAGCCGAGTTCCATACGCTTCCGCAGTTGGCTCAATCATGTACGCTATGACTTGTAATCGCCCTGATGTAGCCTTTGCTTTGAGCATGGTTAGTAGATATCAAGGGAACCCTGGCAGAGCCCATTGGATTGCGGTGAAGAATATCCTTAAGTACCTTCAGAGGACGAAGGAATGGTTCTTAGTCCTCGGAAGGAGTGATGACTTGAAGGTGCGAGGGTATAGTGACGCCAACTTTCAGACCGACAGGGACAACGACCGTTCGCAGTCGTGTTGGGTCTTTACCCTGAATGGAGGAGCAGTAACTTGGAAAAGTTCCAAGTAGGAAACCATAGCTGATTCAACGTGCGAATCAGAGTACATTGCAGCGAGCGAAGCGTCGAAGGAGGCAATATGGCTGAAGAACTTCATTGGTGATCTTGGAGTCGTACCTGCCATAAAGGAGCCCATGGAGATTTTCTGTGATAATTAGGGAGCGGTTGCCTTGACCAAGGAACCAAGAGATCATGGTAGATCACGACATATTGACAGAAAATAACACTTTATAGACATCGTGTAGAAGAAGGACAACTCGTAGTGAAGATGATATCATCAGAAGATAACCCAGCATATCCGCCTACGAAGGGACTGAGTAGGGTTAAGCATTTGCTGCATGCTAGGAGTATTGGGCTGAAGGATGATATTAGCATAGATTAGATAGTATTAGAAGCATATAATAGATAAATGTAATTAACATTTGATGATTAAATAAAGGAGTTTTATTTATAAGTAATGTTACTGTCTTATGTTAATTGTTTAACTATTGTTTCATTTTGCATGTTTTGACTTCCAGAATAATTGAGTTTATTAAGAATAATCGAATTATTCAGATTGTCCACAATCGTTCATATGTCAGAAGTAGATATGAATGAAGATTGTCATGAATAGGTGTGTAGATTGTCTAAATGGTTTTAGACATAGCAAAAGATTGTTGCAACGTTCATGAGTGCTTATGAACTAGTTTTGAGCATTGGAACAAACCCGCGCTTGCTGGAATCACCTTATGGAATCTGATAAAAAGGGTGATCTCAAGACGATAATATCATATAGTCTTAAAACCTAGATATATGGTTTGTTATTTGCTAATTGATTGTACATTGATAATGCGAAAACGCATTGGTAACTCAATGTTATAAAACGCATTGTTGTGTATAGTTGGTTAATGAATAAGTAAATGCATATAAGTCGAAGTTTATCTGTAACTTTTATCCTAAGAAGGAAAAAGTGATATCTCGGCCGCTCGATGATTTGATTTGACTTATGTGTCGGGCCCGGTCAGAACTGAATTGATGTGTTCGATTAAGTTCTATGTCAAATAAATCGGAGATCGAGAAACCAAATGCTATACTAATCATTCCATAGAATTGTCAACATGATATCTAATAGAGGACTGTACGATCTCTTATCTAAAGGACAAAATTGATTAGATCAGAGTTATGACAGCATCTTTGAGAGCTACGATTGCAAATAGGATTGTACTTGTGCATATAGTTACTAGACTTATCCAAGTGGGAGACTGTTGGAATAGTGTCTAAGGCTGCAACTGTATTAGGCAAGTATTTGACCCGATTATGCATGGTCCTTTTGGGTTGCCTTCACCATAGCAACTTGGTAGGATGATTTATTATGAGAGAATAGATATTATTAATATATTCTGGGAATAATATAATGAATAATAATATTGTTATTTGATTAATATAAGTCATAGTTTAATTAGTATTAATTTGGTGACTTAAAGAGATTAATTAAATAAGAGGGTATAAACTATCAATTGTTTGATAGTTACACTTTAGGCTGTATATCCTTATTGGAAAGAGGGTGGACGATTTCTAGGGCTAGGATAAGCCTAAAATCGTCCATAGCTTATCTTTGGTAAGGATTAGGATTAATTAGAGTCTAAGTTATCCAATTAGGGTTTAAGGGTAAAACCCTAGGAGCCTTACAAGTATAAATAGACCCCTTGGGATAGGGAAATCGGTACCTCCTCTATAGAAAGGAAACCCTGGCCGATTTCCTCCTCTCTCCTCTCTCTCAAATCATTCTCTTTGCTAGTTGGTGTTTGTAAGCCATTAGAGGAGTGACAATTGTGACTCTATAGCTCCAAGAACAAGAAGGTCAAACAAGTGTTTCAAGGTATGCTTCTAACTCTAGTTTTGTATTGTTCTTATACCTAATTAGCCATTAGGAGTCTTGGATTCAATGCATGTTTAATTAGAGAAACCTAGATCCAAGCATTAGGGTTTGTATGCGCACATAGGAATGTTCTTATGTACAAAACCCATCAATTAAGATTGTTTTTGTTTATTTATATAGATCATGTGGTGTATTATGTCGAATTCTAGTGTTATTGATGGTGATTTGTATTCTTCTATGAGTGAGAGTGAAGAAGAAGATGTTAAGAACTCATTTTTTTTAAGGTATCAGTTATTGAATTATTTTGTTGTTTTTAATTTTATTGATTATCATTTATTTACATATGAATATGTTAATATGAATAAATTGTTGTCTTATTCATATATGAATAAACGTGTGATAATTGTAATTTCGAATTTATTTATTTTTTCGTTTTATTCATATATGAATAAGTGATGTTTTATTTACAGATGAATATGTTAAAATGAATAAATTGTTGTCTTATTTATATATGAATAAACGTGTATTAATTGTAATTTCGAATTTATTATTTTTTTCGTTTTATTCATATATGAATAAGTTATGTTTTATTTTATATATTTTGAATCCTCATGAATTTTATGTATTCATATATGAATGTTTTATTCATATATGAATGTTTTTTGTTTTATTTATATGAGTTTTATGTATTTATATATATTATTGTTTTATTCATGCATTATTATTTTAGGTGGTGAATCTTCAAGTTCAGTACATGATGCATAATATTTTGATGATATAATTGGAGAACATGTCTATAAGCCAGATGTACCTATTCAACTTATTCCTTTTAGGGGTTTAATCTTCAAATCATTAAAGTTGGCTATCAAAATGTATTCTGAGTATGCTGAAATTGGTGGTTTTGATGTTAGACTGAGCACACAGTCAAGGTTTGATAACAAGATTATAAAGAAGAAACATGTTATATGTAATCGTGGTGGTAAACAGAAAAAGAAATCTTGTGACACATTAGGTACAAGTGGTGTTAGGAGGAAACGAAATTCAAATTCAAGAGCTATTGGTTGTCAAGCAAAGATTATATTTGAATCTGTGTATGGAACTCCAGATTATAAAGTCTTTCAGTTTGATGAACTTCACAACCATCCACTTGAGAAGAGAAGCGATTTAAAAAGGCGAGACAAATGTTATATTCAGAAAAAGAGTTTATTGTGCGTGCTTCCACATCAAAAATAGGTCCAACTATGGCTCATAAGTTGAGGGCAAGTCTGAGAGGTGGGTATGAGTTTGTAAAGCCCAAAGTAGTTGACTATAAAAATCTAAGGAGAGATATCAACAGGGTTATTGGTTATAAAGATGCCCAAATGATAGTAGACACAATGAATGACCGTCGAGCTCACTATCCAAATTACTCATTTGAGTTTAATTGTCAAGATGATGTTTTGGACTGTATGTTTTGGGCTGATGAAATGGAGAAGGCATATTATGCTGAATTTGGTGATGTTATCTCATTTGATGCGACTTTCCGAACAAACAAGTAAGTTATTTTATCTACTCATGTTTATAGCTTATTCATATATGAATATTTTTATATTCACTGATTAATACATCAAAAATTGACTCTAATGAACATTTTTTTTGTGTGTTAGGTATCGAATGGTTTTTGTTCCATTTACTGCTATTGACCATCATAAAAAATCGGTTACTGTTGGATCTGGGTTGCTAAGCAATGAAAGCATTGAGTCTTACTTTGGTTTCTTAAAGCATTTCTTAAAACTCATGGGAAAGAACCAACACTTGTTTTAACTGATCAAGATGCCGCAATAAAACAAGCTGTTGAGAATGTGTTTCGTAATTCAAAGCACCGATTATGTATGTGGCATATAATGAAAAAGTTGAAAAAAAGGTATTATTTTAATTTATTTCAAATATATTACTTATTAGTATATTCATTTATGAATATTGATTGTTATTTTACTTATTATTATTTATTCATTTATGAATATTTTTGTTTTAATACAGATATCAGATGATTTATTTACAAACACAGACTTTAGAAAAAGGTTTTCGAAGCCTGTTTGGGACATTAATATGAAACCTGATGTTTTTGAGGTGAAGTGGGGTTTGCTTATGAAGGAATTCAATATTGAAGACACAAGATGGTTTAAAGACATGTTTACAATACGTGATTCATGGATACCTGGATATTTTAGTGATATTCCAATGTGTGGTTTGATGAAGACTACATCGAGGTCAGAGAGTATGAATTCATTCTTTAATACATATTCAGAAAGTGGGAATTTACTTTTGAATTTCATGATGAATTACGACACTGCCATTCAAAAGCAAAGGAATACTCAACGAGAGCTTGATAGGGCATCAAGGAAAGCATCATATAAAATGCAAACACCTCGAGATGTGGTGTTAAAGAAATTCCTGAAAGGTACATTTTGAAGAGATGGAGAAAGGATGTGATATCAAGAAATTATTGTTTTAGTTCTGTTCAATCCGATTCAGGTGATTGTGAGAATGTAAAGCTAGTCAATGATTCATATTATAGTTTTGAATCATGTTTGGATATTGTAAGAGATGACAAAAAGAGATTGGCTTTGTTTGCTGAGAAACAACAAATGTTGTTGAAGGAATTTGAGAGTGATTATATTTCTCCTGGATTGAAAAGCAAGACAGATGGTGAAGTCGTATGCAAGCTTTTGGGTGTTACTATTCCTATTCCAGAAGAGATTAATATTCATGTTCCTGAAGTTCAAAGCAATAAAGGTTCTGGAATCAAGAAAAGAATTCCAAGTGCAGGTGAAGTAGCATATGAAAATTCTAAAAAAGAACATAGAATGTGTTCAGGATGTGGAAAGCGAGTTCCACACAATTTACGTACTTGTCCAGAAAGAGTTGGAGCTGCTAAATCAGCAAAAGACAGTTAGAGATTTTTTTATTCATTTATGAATATATGCAGATAAAAACAATAAACAATAATATTCATGTATGAATAATACACATTTATATTGATATGGTAAATTGATATGTTGATATTTGTTTTTTAAATTACTATAAAATAAGTTATATTGATATTGTGAATTATTTATAAATGAATATAAATATGTGAAATTTGTTATACTAATAAATAAGTAATATTCATATATGAACTTTTTTATGTTAATATCCGAACTTTGTTATACTAACATATTACTTTGAACTTATTCATAAATGAATATATCATATTCGTATTCATTTATGAATAAATAAAAATAAATTTTGAAAATATTTGAATATAAAAAAATAACATAAATAAGCAAACTTGTTTCTACTAATAAGTTAGTTATATTCATATATGAAATTTGTTATATTCATATATGAACTTTGTTATACTGACATATTACTCCTAATTTAATCATAAATGAAGATATCATATTCGTATTCATTTATGAATAAACATAAATAAACTTTGAAAATATTTAAATATAAAAAACTGACAGAAATAAGCGAAGTTGTTTCTATTACATAATCATTCAACACAAGATGATAAAAGCTGTTCATAAGCATTTCACAAAATATTAAAATGATGTTCAACAATATTTATCAAACAATTTAAAACTTGTTTCGCAGAATCATCTTACATGTACTTCAAATCCATTCATCTTCAACACAAACTGTTCTATAGCATCACACTTCAACATTCTTTCATCTTCACAAGCAATCATTAATATTCTTTTAACCTTTTTTGCATAGCCTTGTATGCATGATCAGTACGCACTTTGAATTCAACTTTTTGATATTTTTCAGCAAGATCCAACACCTTAGCCTTCAACATGTTAATTTCAAAAGTTAGCATTATGTGTGCATATCTTTACCTGAGCTTCTCTAAAGTAGTTTGTTGAACTGCACTTTCTTTATGAAGACTTGGTTTCCACTTTGAGAATGGTTGTCCCATATAGGTCTCCATATGTCTCATTGCAAAGACCCCACAATCAACTTTGTTTTTAGCTGTTCTCCATGACATTTCAGGTCGTTGGGGTTTGATACTTTCTTTTGAGATTGCATTTGCTCTTGGATGGTTTATTTCTTTAAAGTATTTCACAAAAAAAAAAATTCGATCATTAAATAAAATAAAAGTTAGATATGTAATAAATTGGTTCTTTTATGTTGTTGTGAACTTGGTACATACCAAAGGTTTCATTATTACTCCGAATTTCCCTTCATAATCCCCCTCAACTGAACTATTGTCTAGAATTTCAATTGACGGTTTCTTTAAGTTGAAGACAATCACAAAAATTTGAGCACTTTTAACAACTGGAAAGAATACTTGTTTTTATGTATATAATGGTAAGTACTTTGTTGATAAAATATAGAGTAAATTACACGAATCGTCCCTCGTGTAGGTGCCAAAAGGCACGTTTAGTCCTTATTTTCAAAAATTAACTCGGACCGTCTCTCATCCGGATGAAACTTGCACGTTTCATCCCTCGTTAGTTTTAATCGACACGCTTCATCCCTTCCCAGACATGAAAAGACTATAATGCCCTTGTACATTATTATTTTTAATTAATTTATTATTTAACTATTATTTATATCTTTTAAAATAAAGATGGTACCACCTAGACACCTACCACCCTTGCCCTTCGTTCATGTTCGAGATCTACTTTTCTTTGATTGAATACTTACAAACAATTTCATAGCATGTATAGCAAGATCGAGCACTTTTTTTGGATCATCATCGGAGGAATTGATTCACGACCCTGTTTCCCCAAATCTGGCATTGTGTCCCCCCAAAATGTGTTTTAAATCTCTAAACTTGATGTTCAAACACATGACGAGTTCCAGATCTGTTTTTTCCGACTGGATAGTGGATACTGTCAGATAATTTGATCGCACGTATAGCAGAATCGAATGCCTTTTTTGGATCATCACCAGAAGACATTAATTCACGATTTCAACCTTAGTTTCTTACTAAAAGCTTTAGATTTCGTTTTCGATTCAGTTTTGGAATTTTCGACGGAGATGAAGGTTTAGCAACCGGAGATTCATTCGATTGATTCAACTGATTTGTTTTCCTGTTGTCATAAACTATTACAACGGTTACTGATTGTTCCTTCTCCTCATTTTTTACTTTGATGTTTGAAAAATCACCTCAAGCAAATTGGTGTTGATTTCTTAAAGGGCTGATTTTAGGTTTCAGGATATCATCTTCAAAATCGATGCTGATACAGGTTTTAGATTAGGATTTTCTATTTATTAGAGTTAGATTTTGGTTTGTTTTGGTTCCAGATTTTAGAAAATTGGTATTGATTTCATCTTCGTTTAAGCTTTAGATTATGGTTTTAGTATTAGATTTCAGATTGTGGTTCTAGTTTCAGATTTGGTGGTTGAAGGAGGCAACAATGGTGAATGCAGGAGATGTCGGTGGTGGTGTCGAAATGTATTCGATAGTGATTTGGTGGAGGACTGTTTCAAAAGAGAGAATGAGAGGACGATGAGGAACGATGGACAAAAGGAGGTGGGATCACAAATATTTAATATCTTTTAAAATAATTATATACTTAAATTAAAGGCAATATAAATAAATTAAAACATTAAAAGAAATTATTAAGGGCAATATAGTCATTTTATGTCTGGAGGGATCAAACGTGTCAGTTACATCCAAATGAAGGACGGTCTGAGTTAATTTTTGAAATTAGGGACTATACGTGCCTTTTGGTACCTGCACGAGGGACGATTCGTGTAATTTACTCTAAAATATATATAAAAAAAACAACTTTAATTAACATACCATATCAATATCTTTTATGTTCAAGATTTTTTTGTACCCATTGGTACTGTCATGAAAGTTCTCTTTGAATTTTTCATACTTTCTTTCATCAAACAATGTTGAAGTTAGATAAGCAGTCTGTAACCAATATAATCATATGTGAATTTTGATTGAATATATATAATTATGTTAAAGAATACATCATATTTGTATAATCATATGTGAATTTAAGTTGTAAAAAAATATAATATTCATAAATGAATACATCATATTGGTGTATTCATTTATGAAAAAGGAAGGAATTAAGGTTAGAACATAAACTTACAGAAACTCCAACTTTCAAGAAGAGTCTGTATGGTGAATTTCCAAAATCCCTTTCCAGTTTTTGGTGGTTAAGTAAATCAGACCAAGTGTCTAAAACTTCTCCAAAAATCTCTGTGTTTGCATATAGACTTTCCATAACTGCTCTTTCTGATATCTGACCATATTTTGTCTGGACAACCACATCTCTGCAAATATATAATCAAAATGTCATAGATTATTATCTATATAATAATCATATACGAATATATATATAAAATAAAGTTACTTACGATGTATTGCCTTGTAAGTTGAACAACCATTCACAGACAATACTCTCCTGATGTGTCAGTTTGGGTTTTGTGTCTGTTATTCTGCATTTGAAAGGTGATTTGAAAGCATCAGCAAGCTTCTTCTCTCTTGGTTGATCCAGATCATGCTTTGATGGTCCTACTTTAGTAGGAATTGATACAGAGATTGGATTTGGATTAAGAACATTTTTCTTTGCTAATCTGATAACAACCTTCTGATGGTCGTCTTTGATTTGTTTCTTTGTAAGTGCTTTTTTTGGTGAAGATTCATTAGATTTTTTACTTGAAGTTTGATTTGAATCTTGACTGAGACCTAGACTAAAGCTTGGATGAGTATTTGCATGCCAGGAGATTTATCATATAAATATTTGTAAGTTAATTATAATATTTGAGTTTATATTTTGAAATGTTTATCCAAATTGTTACCTCCTTTATTTCCTTTTGTCTTGTCAGCTTTTTCTCCTTTCTTGTTTTGATTTTCTGACTTTTTCTTTCCTGAAAGATAAAGAAATGTGATTAAGTAATTCATATGTGAATAAGTAATGTATTCACTTATGAATAAGTAATACATATCATTATTTATGAATAAGTAATACTATATTTTTTATTTATTCATATATTGTGTTATTCATTTATGAATAATAAAACTTACTATATTCATTTATTAGTGAATCAACTATTTACCTCTATCTTCTGCATTTTCTTTTTCAATTTCTGTTTGTTTTTCTTCACATCCATCTTTCGTGTTCTTAGCTTCCGTTCCTCCTTCATTTCTATCTTCAGAGTTTTCCTTGCCTGAAACATATACATCATATATGAATATTTTTTATTATTTATTCATTTATATAATATATTATTTATTTATGAATAAACAATGTTATTAAAAAAATCAATATAAATATTGTAATATATTTTAAATCATTCATTTACCTGTATAATCTCCCTTTGTTTTTTCAACTTTTGTTCCTTGTTCATGTACACCTTCTGATTTTTCCTTTTCTGCAAGAGTATTAGTTTTACCTGTACTCATTGGTGACCCTGGTCAAAAGTTAACAAACAAAATTGTTATTGTGTATTGATATTTTTATATATTTTTTTAAAAATAAAATTAAGACAAAATTTACCTATATCAATATTATCAAAAATAGTTTTCATTTCAGGGTGATTCCAGATTTCATCTTCTTGACTATTTAAACTTGAAACTCCAATTCCAAGGACATTGTCCACAATATTGTCAACAACTTTATCCAACAAATTTTGATTTTTAGTTTGTTGAATAGTCTTTTCATGATTATTTGTTTCCTCAGCATGATCATCTTTTTCTTCTTCATCATTCTGATTTTCATTCCTCTTTGCATCTTTCTCTTTTACTCTAATTTCACCTTCTTTTTATTCTTATCTGCATCATTCTGTATTCCTTCATTATCTGCTTCATTTGAATCAAGCAAATAATCTACTTCTGGTTGACTTGCACCATTATCACTGTCTTCTTCACCATTTCCCTCTTTATCTTCATTTTCTGTTTGATCATTTGTTTTTTGACCCGTTATTGGTGTCAAATTGATTCCTTCAACTCCAATTTCATTAATTGGAAAATTAAAAAGTGTTGTGCTTTCAGTTTTTTCTTCAACAATCATATTTTTCATCTTTTCTTTGAAAATTCTTAAACTTTCCTTTTCAGGTAACTTTGTCATCGCATCATTAAGCTTTGAATTCAGCTTTTCCTTCATCCTCTCAAAACTATTAATCATTTTTGATATTTTTGATTCATATGCCTATGTAACAAAAAGAAGTATATGATTAGAATTTAATATAATAATTTAATGTAATCATATATTATTAACATGTTAAAACTAATTACCTCAACAGAATAATCTTCATCTTTATCAGAATCACTGTCTTCGAGATCTGTATCTCCTTCATTTTGTTCATTAACAAATTCTTCGTTTAATTCTCCAACTCCAAATCTACCTTTTTCTTATTCAAATGTCTCTCGATATCTAATCTTCTCTGAACTCCAATAACAAATTGTTGGACGTTTACGTGTTACTGTTAAAGCTTCCGAGTGGATGTTATCAGCATAGAACAACTGCACATAAATGATAACTAATTGATATTCATATAGGAACAAGTAATATTATTTTTTACTTATTCATAAATGAATAAGTAATGTAAAGCATTACGTGTGAACAAATATATTTTTCTTATTCATATATGAATATTTGCTATTAGATTATGAATAATCAATATTATTAAAAATTGAGTATAAACATTATAATAACTTACCACCAAGAAAGCTGAAGGTCCAACAAAGAAGCTGTTATCTGAGTATGGTATGTATGAGTTTTTTGTTCTGACAAGACAGTCCAAAACATAGCTGCACCAGTCTATGTTGCTGATGTCTGTTTTTCTTGAAATATAACTCAAGGGAAACAGGTTGCATCTTCCCATTGATGTTGACTCGCAAAAAGTGTTGACAAACAGAACTAAGAAGTTTAATTTGAAATTGAAATCAGCTTGTGTGGTAGAAACAATAACATTTTTGATTGCACTCAGTCGGATGATTGAATCTTTTTTAAATAGTTGCTTCCATTCATCATAACTTTTATCATCCTTAGGCCATTGATCCAGTTGTGTAAGTTTGGTTCCACCAATTGGTATGCCTAACATGTCATGAACAGACTCTGCTGTTACTTTCAATTCCTTTCCTTCAATATCTATCACCATTCTCTCATAATCAAATTTTTGAAGAACATAAAATCCCAACTTCAGTGGTATATCCGTGATTTTCATTTTTAACAAAGCTCCAAAACCCATAGATCTTACAGATTCTTTTTGTTCTTTGCTCATCCCAAGGATTATAGATAGTAATGCCTCTGTTGAACATCTGTTTTTCATTGAATAAAATTCTTTTACCATTTGTTTTTTTTTTCTTTTTGTCTTTTTTGATTGGTGACTCCCCCTTTTTTTTTTTTGCCTTCTTCGATGGATGACTACTTTCAAAATCAGAGTCTGAATCTTGTAGTTGTTGTTGTTTTTCAGGAGTTTTCCTACTTTGATGTTTCATTTTCTTTGGTACTTTAGTTTCTTTTTTATCTGGGAAATTAAAACATATAATATTTGAATAAGTTACTGATATATGAATATGATATATGCTCGTTGATTTATTAATATTTATTTATTTCAAAAATATAACTAATATATACAATTTTATTATATATGAATATATTAGATATGATAGGAATTTTGTACATTTCGCATTTTTCCTCTTCCGCATTGATCTTGTTTCTCTCATTGTTGGTGAATCTTTATCGAAAATGTTAGTGTTCTCACCTTCATTCAATAGTAAGTAGAAGATAAATGAGTTTGATATTTACGAATGAATATTTGAATAAAACATATGTATTCATATTTTTTTATTCACATATGAATATGTTTTGTTATATTCATATGTGAATAGAACATATTAAGTGATTTCTTGTTGTATTCACATTTGAATATGTATGTATGGCAACAAGCTATGTTT